GTGAGGCTGCGAGGCTTCGTGGGCGTCCTCCCCCAGCCCATGAGGGTGTCATAGGCGTCCTTTCCTGACCCGTGAGGGCGTCGTGGACGTCCTTCCCCGACCCGTGAGGGCATCGTGGGCGTCCTTCCCCAACCCATGAGGGCATCGTGGGCGTCCTTCCCCGACCCGTGAGGGCGTCATGGGCGTCCAAGACAGCGCCGAGTCCTCCAGACGCTGGGAGAGGCAGCCGGCCAAGGAGGGGTCTGGCTGTGTAGGTGTAGCCAAATAGACGAGTTTGCGTAGACTTCCTGACAGAATCTGCTAGTGTAATCTCTGACAGTAAACGTTTCCTCCAAATATGGATGCCAGAGAATTAGTTTAAAAAAACTTCTTTTTACTGTGTTGTTGAGATCATTTCAGGTTCTGAAGGAATAGAGAGCTTTCAGGTGACTAAAGAATAAAACTAAAACGTCTTTCTATGGGGATAAAATATTATACCATGAGGAGACAGTGAAACGGATTTTTGCAGAAAAGCTAATTTAAAAAAAAAAATGGAGTTTAGATTTCTTACAAGCATGTTGGACTAAACTAATGTATGGTACAGAAAAAGACATTAAATACATTGTTAATCGTGTTACAAGTGGAGAGAGAGGCAGAACAGTAGATAGAGACATACTCTGCTGTGGCTGCTGTCAGGGCCCGGCTTTTGCTGGGTTTGGTCCTAGAGTGGGCTCACAGAGATGTGTACAGAACACCCACAGCACTGCTTGCTTAGCAGAAAGCCCGAGACCGCCGCAGGAGAATGGACACGTGGCTCAGTCGCTCAGTCCTGTCTGAGTCTGCGACCCTGTGGACCATAGCCCGCCAGGCTCCTCTGTCCATGGGATTCTTCAGGAAAGAATACTGGAGTGGGTTGCCATTTCCTTCTCCAGGGGATCTTCCCCACCCAGGGATCAAACCTGGGTCTCTTGCATTGCAGGCAGATTCTTTACCCACTGAGCCACCATAAGTGGATCGGCATGTATTTATTCAGTAAATATACACTTAAGTGAGAATGGATGATGTTTTACCTGTGGCATTTTGTCTCGTAAGCTATGTAATGGTTTGTGGATATTTGTTATATTGCTGTCTATACTTTTTTGTATTCCTGTAAAGTCCTGGTGAGTCTTGGACCTGATCTGTCTGTACGTCTGACGTATCATGGTGAAACTGAACAATGGGAAAGAGAATTCTGGAGAGCTGCCGGAGAGGAACCACTGATAGCCGTGAAGGAACAGTGCTTTGAGTAACAGCAGACCCCCCATTAGTTACAGACACCAAGGACCGTGGAATAACGCTCTGCAACGCTAAAGGGACTGTCCTGTATGAACGTGCATCTGTGACACGCTCAGAGCTGGGGAGACCAGTGCAGTGGGAATTCCCTTGCCCTCATAGTAATTCAGTTGCCAGAACTAACTCCAGAAGAGAGAATCCCAATGGAATAATTTGGGAACGTTCTCAAAAGCTACCATCCCAGATGGTTTTATAGGTTAAAAGAAATTCTACATAAAGGAACATACAGATGACTTGCTTTAGAAAAAGAACTACATTGTTTGATCAAAGGAGGAAAAAAAAAAATCAAACTGTCATCTTAATAGAGGCAGAAACTGCTCAGTTACTCCAAATCCCACTCAAGGTAAAGCCAGAAGTGAGGGCTGGTCCTGGTGCGGTTGACAGGCCTCTTAGTGAGGCCTCTCTAAGTGAGGCCCCGCGCGCTTAGAGGGGCGCCCGGATGAAGAGAGAAGCAGTCTGTTTGCCTTCACCGCGTCTGCTTGGCAGGGCTTCTAACTCAGACAACTAAGCCAGGAAGAAGAAACACGGCATAAGAATGAGAAGGGGAGAAAACTAACTTGTTATTTCCTGATATCATCTACAGAGAAAATCCACGCACATCTGCAGATAAACTACTAAAACTGATATTCAGCAAGATTGTTGACCATAAGATGAGCTAGCAAAAATAGGATGGAGGAGGAGATAAAGAAATTGTGCTCTTTATCCAGTGAAATATTATTCAGCCATAAAAGAGGGAGATGCCACCATTTCCAGCAACATGGATAGCATCTGGGGTTATTGTGCTAAATGAAATGGGTCAGACAGAAAAAGACAGATAATGTCTTATACATGGAACCCTAAAAAACAAGAAAAGCTCATAGAACAGATTGGTGGTTGCCAGAGATGGTGCATGAGGGGTGGGAGAAATTGGTGAAGGGAGTCAAAAGGTAAAAATGAAAACATCAACAAGAATCTGTTTTAAAAGCAGTAGCAGCAGCAGTGGGTAGGTGGGCCCTTTAAGCTCCTCGGACTGTGCAGAGCAGGTTCCTCAGACCTCTTAAGGGTCAGCATCCCTGCTGAGGAGACAGGCAGTCCCTCCCTTGTAGCCCACGGTAGTGACTTTGAGATAACGCAAATTTATGTATGAGAACAGCCTGAGTGGATTTTGGAGAGTGTCTTCCATGCCTGCTTTGGAAGTCCAGGAAAGCTGTGCATACAATTTTTTTTTAGTTTTAAACTCAAGGCTTTTCCTGGAATATACATGCATCCTTACACCCTATTTTAAAGTTGCCGTTTGTCCACAGCTCCTCTGTGAAGCTCTTGATCCTTGCGTGTCTGGGGCAGGAGCGTTGTCCTGTCACAGCACTGTGGCGGGGGCCCCCGCCCCTCAGAAGCCTGGGCCTGGGCCAGGGCTGCGTCTTCCCTCCCAGCGTGAGCCCCTGACTCAGCCTCCGAGGAGCAGAGACGGTCACGGGGTGTCACCTTGCTTTTGCCCACCTCCCCCTGGCTCCCATGCCACCCACGTGTCCTGTCCCTGGTCGAGATGCATCGGTTCCCGGGCTTGATCCCTTTGGACATGCTTGGGAGGAGACACTGGAAACAGTGTGCTGGCTGCTGTTCTGAGCTGCTCACCAGAAGCTGCTGCTGGGCGCTGATGAGTACAAGCTCTGTCCCCACCTTCCACTTCCACCCCAGAAGGCTCTCTGTGGGCTGGGCTGGGACACGGTCCAGCACCAGGGAGCGTCAGGACCGTCTGGGACGGAGGCAGAACCTGACCTCGGGCATCCAGTCTTCTTTTTCCCTGGTGTGTGCTCCGTGCTCCTCCACTGCTGCAGACTTGCACTGACCAACAGTCCTTCATAACAAGGTAGAAGGCCAGGTTCAAATAGAGGGTTGTGGACTTTCTCAGAGCTCCATGCTGGGACCTGGTGCAGTGAGGGAAAGCTGGCCCCTGGCCCACCCTGCTCCCAGCCCAGGCCCTGTCCTGACTGCCAGGAGGCCTTAAGCTCAAGCACACAGACGTGTCCTTTCCCATCCACGTTCCCGCTCCCACCTGCCCACAGTGCACCTTTCAGCCTGCAGCAAGCGTGCCAGAGCTGGGCTCTGATCTCAGGAGCAGGCATCTGGCAGGGAGGCGCTCCCAGCCAGGGGACAGGACCTATGGCGGGGGGGGGGGGCGTCCACAGAGAGGTGCAGCCAGAGGACGTCCTTCAGAAGCTGCGACCCAAGGCAGAGAGGGTGCTGTTGAAGTGACACAGCTTGAGTGGAGGAAGGACTCACAGGTAACAATTGGGAAATGCCGTTTTCATGGATTCTTGTGGACTTGAGCTATGATCTAAGGTCCTTTAATTTTAACCGGAGAGTCTCATCAGTATTTCTTGTAGGGTAGGTCTGCTAGCGACAGATTTTTTTCTGTTTTTGTTCATCTGGGAGTGTCTTAATTTCTCATTTTTGAAGGATAGTTCTGTTGGATACAAAATTCTTGGTTGACTCTCAGCACTCTGAATTGGGCTGAGAAATCAGCTGTTAATTTTATCGAGGATCTCTTTAACTTAATGTAGCATTTCTTTCTTTCTGCTTTGAAGACTATTTGGTTTTTGACAGTGTTATTCTGATGTACCTAGGTGTCTCTTTGGACCTGAGTCTCTTTTGATCCCAGTATTAGAAACAAAACAAAACTCTCTTGAAAAAAACACTCTTCTCTTGGTTGGTGGAAAAATAGTAAAATTGTGTTTTATCAAAAGTGTTGTATTTCCCTCTATTGCTTTTGATATCACTTTTCTAGCCTCCTCAGACAGGCAGTGGGCATTCTGATTGTCAACAGTGAGACTAGCATTTAAGGCACAGCTGTCCTCTTCCTTCGTGACTTTATTAAATCAGGGGCTCGGTGCCCAGACCCCCCCATCAGACGCACCTCCAGCGGCTGGTCCCTGCCAGTGGCTATCTCAGAGTCTGAGGACGTCAGACCTCACTTCTGCATCGGGGACAGAGGTCTGAGCTTTGAGAGGGATGTCAACAAACGACCCTGGGGAGAAAAACGTGATGATTTGGAAACTTGAAGTCGTGTCAGGGAACAGAGATTGGTGAGAGGTTTAAGTGAGTGATTCCTGCAGGTCTTTTGTGTAGAAGATTTGAGGTTTTGGTCCTCTTTTGGAGGTGTCTGTGTGCCTAGTTGTCCCCTGTCTTATTTGTTCTCCCTCCAGTGTGTCTCCAGATAAACCCCATCCAGACGGGGGTGCAGTGGGGTGGCACGGTGGCACATCTCAGTCACTTCTGCATGAAGCTGAGGAGACAGGAGGTCTGCTCCAGGGGCAAGGAGGCCAGGCCTGAGTGGGATCCTCGTGAAGCTGGGTTACTTCCAGCCCTGGGCCCCCTGCGAGGAGCCTGCTGCAGCGCACTTGTGCTGAATCTATATTCAGTATTGAGACATCATTAAAAAAAAACTAAACTATGAGTTTATAAATGATACTTTGATTCTCTTTTTTCCTCTCTCATAGAACCGTAGGAGAGAAGAGAAATAACATTTATGGAGAACATTCTATGTGTAGGAAGTGCTTTAAATATCTTAATTATAGTATTTTATATATGCTCTGTAAATACGTGCTTAGCTCAGAATGTGTTAGCTCAGCCGTTTGAAAGGCAGAGCTCTGTGTTGTGAACCTGAAGCCAAGGTAGGTTCATTCCCACGACGCACCGTTTTCTCGTTGTAGGGACATTTTAACCATATGGAAGATCGGTAGAAGAACGTGCTGGGAGAGGAAGGTCCCGGTCATGGTTTCGAGCCCTCGTGCACCAGAGATGTACTCCCCAGGTGGACCTGGCGCCTCCTGTTCCGAGGTCCCACCTCCTCACTCCAGAGCCAAAGAGCCTCCAGACCTCACTCCTGAAGCTGCCTTTCCAGTGCAGCCTGCTGGGGAAGATCAACGGCTTTATTTAAAAGTTGAAAGTATCCAGCATCAGCTTCCTGTGAGGTTTGAGAGTCCGCATCCAGATGTAAAGCCCCGCTCCGTACTTTGCTGTTGTTTCGAGGGTGTATCAAGAGCTGCTCATGTGCTCTTTTTTAATCAAAAGTCTTATTTTTATATTGAAAATGTTTTATAATCTTATACCGAATTTTACTAAATGTTAGCATCGAGTCTGTTCTGTGTGATTTCCCCAACTGAAGTTACCAGGTGCAAGACCACTTTTATATTAAAGTGGGGGTTTCTCATCTTCTCTCAGGTTTCAGTGTCTGGTCTGACGGTAGAGACTGGCGAGTTCGCAGGATGCCCTTGTCATCTCGAGACGGGTCCCAGCAAAACCCCGGTTAGCAGCTTGTTCACAGGTCCTCTCCCCACCTAGGGCCGTGGCGGACAGAGGCCCAGCCCTCCGTGTTTCCCCCGGCCGTCCACGTGGCCGTGTCCCCTGCCACCAGCCGGCCCGCGGCATCCACGTTCAGAAGAGCCTGATCCGTAGGCAGTCGTGGTGTACAGTCATGGGCGAGAGGTTCAGGCTGGACGGACGAGGCCAGAAGACAGGGTGCAGAAAGGAAATGAACGCAACAGCGTCTGTGGGACGGATTACCCGCAATCACAGGGCACCGCCAGGCTGCAGGACGGAGAGCATTTTCTGCTCCCAGCATTTTTGGAGTCACTGGACAGTGAACCCCAAATAAGCTTGCAGAGCTGTGACCAATGGAGAAATGTCCAGACTGCACGAGAGAAGGAGCTGAGGTTTGAGACCATAAAAAGACATTTTTTTAAGAATGTTAATTTACTTCTCTCTTCTCAAATGAGATCAGCACCTTCATTTGTCTGGAAAACATGAAGATGCTTAGATCCCAACCTGGTGTTTTGTGTATAAGCTCTTCCTTTCCCCCCAGATCCATGGGGAGAAGGGGTGTCCATGTAGGCACAGTGAGTGTTTGGTCACTGAGGTGGCACACGGGTCACCCCAGCCGTTTATGTGGACTGAAAGCTTTCGGGGGAGAAGAAGCCCCCACGCAGCGCCCGGCTTGGTGCAGGACAGCCACCCCCGCGACAGGGCCAGGTGGACACGGGTCAGGACTCACCTCCCCACGCCCGCCAGCGTCTCCGCCTCACTCTCGAGTATGCAAGGGTCTGAGGACCCAGGGGCTGTTATTAGTGTGAGACCTGAGTACACAAGGCCTGGCCGCTGCTGGGCGCCTGCTCCCCGCCCGTGTGTCACTATGTGAGACCTGAGTACACGAGGCCTGCCTTCTGCTAGGAATCCGACCCCTGCCCCACGGCCCTTCTGAGGCCAGAGCAGTTGGTCTTCTATGGAAAAGCCGCGCACGAGCAGACCTAACAGCGTGAATCTGGCGAGAGGGGTGCATTAAAGACAGCCGGCATGTGGGAGCCAGCAGCTTTATCCCGAACTCCTGCAGTTCTCAGGCGGGAAGGAGAGCATGGCAGAGCTGGTGGGGCCTACGGGACATGGCCTCCATTCTCTGTCAGCTCAGAACAGGCCCGCAGCGGAGCGCGCCAAGGGTCTAGGCTTCCGGAACCTTCCCTGTGCCCCTCGGAGCCCACCATCTGGCCTTCCCGCCCACAGAGACCCCAGGCACAGAAAGCCTGGTGGGGTAACCTGTGGGCATTCTGCCCTCCTGGCCTGGCCTTCGCCTGGCTCCAGATTCGCCCCCTAATCATCCCCATCTCTTCCACCGGCCCGCTTCCTTCTGGGCCCTGCAGCCTGAAATGGATCGGGGGAGAGGATGTTTTGGTAAAACTTTCTTAATTGGCATTTTTATGATTATAAAAATATACTTGTTCATGTAGAAGAGAAGGGAGGAAAACAGCCCATCCCAGCCCGCGTGTCCACCCTGGGCTTGCTGGGGGCGCCTCCTCCGGATACGGACTTCTTTATATCCGCCAATGTTACCGAGTGAACAGGCTCCCATGTCACTGTGGGAAGCTGTCATTTTAAAAGGTGGCAGGGGGCCCTCCCTGGTGGCCCAGTGGTTAAGTCTCCCCCTTCCAATGCAGTGGGTGTGGATTTGGTCCCTGGTCAGGGAACAAGGTTTCCACGTGCTGAAGGGTGCAGCCAATAAATGTTTAAAAATAAGTAAAACTTGTAAAACATGTTACTTCAAAAAAGTGCGTTATCTTCACGGCTCTAACTGCCATCGGTCGGGAAAGGCTGGCTCTAAGGGCGTAGGTAAGCATCAGGGAGCCGCTCTGTCCTGTGTAGACGTGAGGAGCTGCAAGAGGCAGGAGCGGACCCATGGCCCAGAGACCTCACACAGGGACCCCCTCTCTCGGCACCTCAATCTGTCAGCCCCACAGGTACCGAAACAGATCAGGCAACACGCAAAACCTGCACAGATTCCATGAAACTGGGTTTTGACACACCCGGGACAAGTGTGAAATGTGATTATACCTTTAAAGTGCTCCATCTCTGTGTTCTTGCCAAAAAAAGAGGAACACCCCAAGGAAACAGACCAGGCATTTGTGTGTGTGTGTGTATTAAATACACTTACACGTAAGTTGATACCCATTAAATTTTCCATGCATTCTTTAAACATGATCTGTCGTTGAATACATACCTTTTATCATTTCACAAAATAAGTTTATAATGGTTTATAAACCTTGAAACAACTTACAAAATTCTCAGAAAATTCAGAAACATGGTAAATGGTTTTCACAGACATATTAGCATCACTTGAAATGTTTTGCCTCCTTTTAAAATGTAGTTTAATCTTCAATTTTGTTTTTTACACATATTCCACCAGTGTTACCATGGGACTTACCTGGCAGCCCAGTGGTTAACACTCCACGCTTCCAGTGCAGGGGGTGTGGGTTTGATTCCTGGTCAAGGAACTAAGATCCCACATGCCATGCGGCTCAGCCAAAAAAAAAAATAAAGCACAAAGATACCTCAAATTCCCATAGATAAGTAGAAATGAAATATGAATATAAAAGTATAAAAATATTACACAGAGATAACTGATGCTCACATTTCAATGTGTATCTTAACAAAACTTCTGTGTGAGCATACACACCTACCAGCCTGTCCTCTGGATGTTACCGTCATGAACGTCTTCTCACGTCAGCGCGTGTTTAAGCGTCATTCTAAAGGTCAGCCTAGGCAGTTCCGTAGTTAGGATTTGGTGCTCTGACTGCCGTGGCCTGTCCCTGGTCGGGGAGCTGAGGCCCTGCAGGCCATGCATCGAGGCAAAAAAGGAAAAGGAGGGTTGGGTTAGGATGCTGCACGGTGCTAACTCCCCTGACTGGAAACGCAGTGTGTTTGCCCCCTCACTCCCTAGTGTGAATTTATGTTCTTTTCATTCATTCATTCTTTTTTTCATCTACCTGTTACAAAAATTGCTGGATAAATAGTCTTACAGATACAGTTTTATAAGGTCTTCCAATTATATTTGTAAGAGAAGATTCTAGAAGTTGTGCTGCTGGGTCTGCGGGTATACTCAGATTTTCTGCCATTTGGAAAGGTGGTCCCATGTCCCTTCCCATTCAACACCGAATAGAATCCACACTTTTTATTATTATTACTAACTTGGAACATCTTGAACACACAGGAAAGTCGGCAGAACCAATAGTACAAAGACCCTGTAGCCTTTGACCTTCTCCAACAAAGGTCACCGTGGCCAGCCCTGCCCGCCTCCTCCGCCAACCTGTGCCCTGGGAGCAGATTCTAGCCATACTAGTTCCGCTATAATTATTTCCATCTGTCCTCCCAAAGAAGCAGCATAAAAAGCATAACCACAATACAACAGTCAGCCCTCAAACAAAATTTACAATAATTCCTTATTTATGAAATCTCTAGTCTTTGATCAGATCCCTCTGCCTCTTCAATTTCATAGATGGTTGTTTTCATTTTGTTTGGTTTTTCACGATGTGTTTGAGTTTGATGCAGGCAGGGTCCATGTACCAGACTGGCTGATCTGTCCTGAGTCTCTGATCTAGGGGTCTCCTTCCTCCCCCTTTACTCCTATGCAGTGAATTTTCAAGAAGCTAGTTTGTTCATACAGTCTGTGTCAAAATGTTCCTCTTTGCATCTCCCAAGTTTTACCTACTGCTCTCACCTTTGTCTAGGTTGTCTAGGTTTGTCCTTGCTCCTTTCCTTCCAAAGAGCGTCTTCTAATTTCATGGCTACAGTCACCATCCACAGTGATTTTGGACACAAAAGAAAACCTGTCACCGCTAGACAGTGTATTAAAAAGCAGAGACATCACTTTGCCCACAAAGGTCTGTGTAGTCAAAGCTATGGTTCTTCCAGAAGTCATGTACAGATGTGCTAATTGGACCATGAGAAAGCTGAGCACCAAAGAACTGATGCTTTCGAGCTGTGGTGCTGGAAAAGACTCTTCAGACTCCTTTGGACACCAAGGAGATCAAACCAGTCAGTCCTAAAGAAAATCAACCTTGAATATTCATTGGAAGGACTGATGCTGAAGCTAAAGCTCCAATCCTTTGGCCGCCTGCTGCGAGGAGCCGACTCATTGGAAAAGACCCTGATGCTGGGGAAGATTGAGGGCAGGAGGAGAAGTGGGGCAGGTGATGAGATGGCTGGATGGCATCGCTGATTCAGTGCGCCTGGTGATGGTGAAGGGCGGGGTGCTGGTGAGCTGCAGTTCATGGGGTGGCAAAGAGTCAACGCAACTGAGCAACTGAGCAGCAACAGCAGCTTGCCTCAGGTCCTGGTCGGGGAACTGAGATCTTGGTGTTTACTATAATTGCTGTTGATCCAGAAGCTTGATCAGATTCAATTTTAATTTTTTGGCAAAAGTTCTTTCTTAATCCCTGACAGTCTGACCTTTGCACTGACTTTGTGGTTTTAACGTATGGGTCCCATACTGTGTTTCTAATGTGTATTATCGGCCACGTTTGTCCTTCATGAATGATCCGTCTTTGGATGTTTTTCTGTTGGGGTTCTTCTCTTTGTTATTTATTTTCAGGAGTTCTATAAATATTAAGGCTGTTAGGTCTGTTTTCCTCTCCTTTGTTGCCCATATTTTTTCTCCATTTATGGTTTTTCACATTCTTTTCAGTGATGTCTACGGCATCATTTACTGGACGATTTTAGCAGTCATAACTCTTGGCCTCCTTTTAGCCTTGGAACCATTAAAGAAAGACCTTCCTTTCCCCTAGATTATGTACGTTACATGAACTGATATGTAAATTATGGCCTACATTTTTGCATGATTCTGATTTCACTTTTTTAATTTATGTTTTATTTTTGGCTGCATGGGGTCTTCATTGCTGTGTGCAGGCTTCTCCTGGTTGTGGCACCGGGGGCTTCTCTTGTGGCGTGTGGCCTTCTCATTGTGGTGGTTTCCTGTGGATCGCGGGCTCTAGAGCACAGGCCCAGTCGTCGTGGCACTTGGGCTTCGTTGCTCCTGGCATGTAGGATCTTTTGGACCGGGACAAACTGGTGTGCCCTGCATTGCAAGGCAGATTCTTAACCACTGGACCCCCAGGGAAGCCCCTGACTTCACTTTTAACACATAAAACTTTGTGCTGTAGCTACAGAGTTTTAGGGCATAAAGGGCGATATATCTAACTTTGTTTTTCTCCAAATATTAACCAATTATTCTTTTTTGGAGGGGAGGTTGTGAAATGTGTTATTGAAGCATAACCTATATAAATGGATTTTATTTATATATGTAGCAAAACTGGTGCTGAAAGTAATGTTTTATTATTTTTTAAAATTGTTATTTTATATTGGAGTATAGTTAGTTTACAACATTGTGTCAGTTTCAGATGCACACAAAGTGATTCTGTTATAGGTACATATGTATCCATCCTCTTTCAGATTCCTTTCCCATTTAGGTTGTTATAGAATTGAGTATAGTTCCTGTGCTGTATAGTAGGTCCTTGTTGTTTATTTATTTTATGTATAGCAGTGTGTGTACGTTAACCCCAAACTCTTCATTTATCCTACCCCCCACCACCTTTCCTCTTTGTTTTGTTGTAGACATAGATTTGTTTTCTGTATCTGTAAGTCCTTCTTCCAGATAAGTTCATTTGTATCACTTTTTTAGATCCCACACAATAGGTGACATCATATGGTGTCTGACTTACTTCACTTCGTATGATCATCTCTAGGCCCACCTGTGTTGCTGTAAATGGTATTATTTCTTTCTTTCTTTTTTTTAGTTGACTCTGATGTAGTCCAGCTTGTCTAGTTTTGCCTCTGTTGCCTATGCTTTTGGTTTCATATTATGTGCCATATGGGGCTTCCCTGATAGCTCAGTTGGTAAAGAATCTGCCTGCAATGCCGAAGACCCCAGTTTGATTCCTGGGTTGGGAAGATCCCCTGGAGAAGGGATCGGCTACCCACTCCAGTATTCTTGGGCTTCCCTTGTGGCTCAACTGGTAAAGAATCCACTTGCAATGCGGGAGACCTGGGTTCGATCCCTGGGTTGGGAAGATCCCCTGGAGAAGGGAAAGGCTACCCACTCCAGTATTCTGGCCTGGAGAATTCCATGGACTGTATAGTCCTTGGGGTCACAAAGAGTCGGACATGACTGAGCGACTTTCACTTCGCTACATGCCATACCATGTCATTGCCAAGATAATATCAAGAAGCTTTTCCCCTATGTTTGCTTCTAGAAGTTTTAGAGTTTTGGATCTTTAATCCATTTTGAGTTGATTGGTGTGTGTGGTATAAGAGTCCAGCTTTATGATTTTGTGTGGGGATATCCGGTTTTCCAGCACCATCTATTAAAGAGATGGTCCTTTCCCCATTGTGTATTTTTGGTACCTGTGTCAAAAATCACTTGATCTTATGTGCATGGATTTATTTCTGAGCTCTCTATTCTGTTACATATGTCTGCCCTAATACCAATATGTAATTTTTTTTATTACATAGCTTTGTAATATATTTTGAAATAAGAAAGTGTGATGCCTTCAACTAGCATATGAAGAGATGTTCAACATCACTTATCATCACAGAGATGTGAAGCAGAACCTCAGTGAGATAGCATTAAGCTCCTGCTGGGATGGAGCAATAGATACTAAGTGTTCACAAAGATGTGGAGAAATTTGAAACTTACACACTGTTGATAAGAGTGCAAAATGGTGCAGCTACTGTGGAAAATAGTATGAAGGTTCATCCAAAAGTTAAAAATAGAGGGACTTCTCTGGTAGTCCAGTGACTGGGACTCTACACTTCCACTGTTGGGGGTGAGAGTTTGATTCCTGGCTGGGGAACTAGGATCATGCGTGCCACACAGTGTGGCCAAAAAATAAATTAAAAAATTTTTTTAATTGATGCAAAAAAAAATTCATGATGAACCAAAAAAAAATCAAAATTAAAAATAGGACCATCAGATGATCCAGCAATGCCAGTCCTGGGTATACAGCCAAAGGAATGGAGGTCGGGATCTCGAAATGATGGCAGCCCTGTGATCACTGCAGCACTGTTCACAACAGCAAGGCATGGAGGCCAGCTAAGTGGCCGTGCGTGGGTGCTCGGCCACTCAAGTCATGGCTGGCTCTGTGATGCCTCAGGGGCCGTAGCCCTCCAGGCTCCTCTGTCCGTGAGATTCTCCTGGCAAGAATACTGGAGTGGCTTGCCATTTCCTCCTCCAGGAGATCTTCCAGACTCAGGAGTCAAACCCACGTCTCCTGCGGCTCCTGCATTGCAGGCAGCCTCTTTACCACTTGAGCCACGGGGGAAGCCCAGTTAAATGGCCATCAACTGAAGAATGGATAGAGAATGTGGTACATGCACACAGTGGAATATTACTCAGCCCTAAAAACGAAGGAGACCCTGCATTATGTGACCACATGGATGACCCTGGAGGATATTATGCTAAGGGAAATACGCCAGTCACAGAAGAATAAATATTGCCTGATTTCAACCAATACGAGGAAACGAAAGAGTCAAGCTCACAGAAGCCAGGAACAGAACGGTGGTTGCAGGCTGCGGGAGGGACATGGTGGGGGTGGTTGCCGGGTGGGCAGAGTCTCGGAGGCGCGGAGCGGCTGAGCCCCGGGGCTCTGCTGCATGGCGCAGTGCCTGTGTCCACCACGCTGTGTGTGTTGCCCGTGAAAAGCCCTGGCGAAGCCGGATCCCGTGTTAAGTGTTCTCCCCACAATAAAGTTCGAAAGAGCGCAGGGCCCTTGCGGGGAGGGCTGCCCTCGCTGTTGGTCTTTGCTCTGAGTGCCGGTGCTGCCCCTCCCCACTGCGTCCCACATTCCATCGTGGCCGCTGAAGGCCCCCTCCGCCCTCTCCACATGGTCAGCAGCTTCTCCTCGACCAGAGCAGGAGGGGACTTTCCACAAAGCCTCTTTGTCCCCCCAGATGGTTCCACTTAGGCCGTGGTTTCCCTGGCATCCGGGGTAATTGACAGAGGCACTCACGACCCCTGGTCCACAAGCCCAGGCTCTGGAGCTGCCTGGCTGGCCCTTGTGCCCGCCTGGTTCACAGAGCATCCCACGGCCAGCGAGCTGGGCCTCTGACCTCACGTCCAAGAGCAGAACCTGACGCAGGTGCACATACCCTAGTGAGGGCTATCACGGTCTGGGCCCTATTCTGGAAAAGGCTGGAGGGACCACAGAGCATCCCATGGCCAGCGAGCTGGGCCTCCATCCTCACATCCAACAGCAGAACCTAACACAGATGCACATACCCTAGTGAGGGCCATCACGGTCTGGGCCCTATTCTGGAAAAGGCCGGAGGGACCACAGAGCATCCCACAGCAAGCAAGCTGGGCCTCCATCCTCACGTCCAACAGCAGAACCTGACACAGATGCACATACCCCAGTGAGGGCCATCGTGGTCTGGGCCCTGTTCTGAAAAAGGCCAGAGGCTCCCCCTGGAAGATCTGACTGTGTCCCCAGACCATGTGAACAACGGCGACAGGCCCAGCAAGTTCCAGAGGTCCTGACGCCACTGAGCCTCATTTACATCCTCTCAAGCTCTGCCTCTCTTAAGAAACATGGGTCTTAACAGAAGGCCCACTTAACGTGTGTCAGACGTACTGACACAATTCGTATAAATGTGTAAGATGGTCCAGGGTGCCGTCCACGTGTTGTTCAGACTCGGTGTTTCTTGTGCTGTTTATGTGAAGTGAGTTCAATGGCTCTGTCTTCTTTGAGGTAGAAAATGCCACGTGAATTCTCATTCCTTTATAAAAACAAACCTTATATGTTGAAGTCTTACTGTGGTGACACCTAATTTTCTCTTCCATCTTGCCTGTATTTTGTGGTTCCTTGTTGACCCCATGGACGCCAGATTTCCCTGTCCTCCACTGTCTCCCAGAGTTTGCTCAAGCTCGTGCCCGTTGAGTGGGTGATGCCATCTGACCATCTCGTCCCCGCCACCCCCTTCTCCTGCTGCCTTTGTGGCCCGGTGATGTTTATAAGTTCTGGATGAGGCCAGGCCACGGTGCCTTTGCCCGCCGCCCCGTCCACTCCCAGGGCGCCCGTGCACCTCTGGCTACTGGTCCCCTCACAGAGCGCTGGGGGAGGCTGGCCTTGGAGGGCGAGGGTGGGGTTTGCTCTGGCCAAGTGGAGGCGAGGATGGGGCTTCGCTCATCGGTGCCCCAGAGCTGGGCAGGGCTCCCGGCACCCAGGCCGCTTCAGTGAGTATCCGCAAAGTCAACAGAAACCAATTTCTTTAAAAAAAATCACTGATGTATTCTTGGCTGTGCTGGGTCTTGGTTGCCAGGCAGGCGTGTCTCTAGTCGCAGTGAGGGGGGGCTCCTCATCCCCGTGGTGTGCGGCCTTCTCACTGCGGAGCTCGGCGCGCAGCCTGCAGGCTCACGGCTCCCAGACCCCAGAGCACAGACGACAGTGTGGCTCACAGGCTGAGCTGCTCCGAGGGATCTTCACGGATCAGGGGTCGATCCCTGATTGTCCTGCATTGGCAGGTGGTTCTTTACCCCTGAGCTGGCAGCGGAGCCCCGGGAACTGATTTCTAATGAGCTTCTGAACGTCAGGAGCCCAGGCCAGCCGTGTGTTCGGCTAGCGGGGTTGGGGTCTTGCTGGGAGGGGCCCACCAAGGCCGGTCCAGCTCCTGGTCCTGATACCACAGCTCCGACCTCCTGGCCGAGCCCACCACTTGCTTCCCATCCCCAGACCCTCCCCGCCTCTGTCCAGGGTGATCCTGTCCTGCTGAGAAAAGCCACACGTGTGCACTGCGGAGGCCGGAAACAGCACATGGGGACCCGGGCCAGGTGGTTGGAGGCAGGAGTCCAGGCCGCACCAGGCGCCCGGACGCCTGCTCATCACTGCCCCGAGGGCTGGGATCAGACAAGCTAGGAGAGCACGAGGCCAGGCTGGGCCTCCTCCCCCCCCGGCTGCCCCCAGGGATTCAGCTGGGGCCGTGCTGAGGGTGGAGCCCCAGTTCCAGGGCGCACAGCCGTGGGGCCTCTGCGTGGGTGACACAGTCCAGTGACAGCGCGTGTCCCCAGCTCCCTGTAGCACACATGAGCTTTCTCCACGACGCACGGGCTGTGTATGTCCGTGAGAAAGTCCCATGGACTCCGGGGACCTGTGTGACTGGGTGGATCCCAGTGGCCCTCAGAGCCTGAAGTTGACTGAGCTCCCTGCAAGCCTCAGCCTCCCCAGGCCCCCATGTCTGCAGCAAAGCCAAACCCTCTCGCCCTGCACCCTATTCTGGGGCCCGCAGAGCTGTCCCGGGGCTGCAGCCCGAGCAAATGCAAGAGGCTGTCGTGGTCCCAGCAGCGGGCACTGGGGATGCAGCCCGCCCAGCCAGGGCGGGGACGGGGTAGGGGTGCAGGCCTACAGGTCTCTGGCGGGGCAGGGCAGGGAGGGGAGAGGCTGCCTGCCCCCAACCAACCTGCCCGCCTGGCCAGCGGGTGGGGTGCCCACAGAGGCAGGCTGCCCCCTCAGCCTTGGTGGGCAGGGCCAGAGAGGGGCCACAGCCAGACCAGCCTTCGCTCCCCTCCCTGCCCGGCAGCCGCTGCAGGGAGCCGGGCAGCCCACCACAGAGCTCGTCTGCGATGAGCCCCGAGGTGAAGGCGGAGAACAACCCGGGCACCAGAGCGGAGGAGACGGGCCGGGGTGCCCGGGCGCTGGACGCGAGCGGGAACTTTTCCTCCAGGCTTCTAGGGCACAGAGGTGGTCTGCTGTGTGCCCCACGGGTCCAAAGAGGGGAGGCACACCTGTTCTTCAGAAGAACTGCGTCCTTTCCCTAGAGCTAATTCCGAAGAAACGCTTCCAGTGGATGCGTGTGTAAGTGGCGTGGGCGGGAGGTGGAGAACATCCCCACTTGGGGCACCAGCGCGTGTGTGCTCAGACGTTCAGTCTTGTCCGACTCTTTTGTGACCCTGTGGACTAAGCAGGCTTCTGTCTATGGGACTTCCCAGGCAAGAATACTGGAGGGCGTTGCCACGCCCTCCTCCAGGGGGTCTTCCCAATGCAGGGACTGAACCCACATCTCCTGTGTCTCCTGCGTCGGCAGGCAGACTCTTTACCATTGCATCACCTGGGGCACCAGAGGGCTGTGTCAAATATACACACAGGGAAGCGTGGCCAGGGCGTCACCAGTCTCAGCGACAGGAGTTAAGGAAGTGGGTGGGGCCGCTCCCCTCCCCGCATCCCCCCAGCTTTCTGGGGTCTCCTGTGTAATGGCAGCTAGAGCCTGGAAGCCTGGAAGGAGGGCTGGCGTCTGGGTTCCTTATAAATGGGAGATCCAGGCAGGTACAGAGCTGCGGGCACTGCCCAGGCCTGAGGCAGCCCCCGGGAAGCGCACGGCTGCTGGAGGCGCTGGCCTCCCCCGCTTTCCTGGCTGCGTCCCCGCCAGGAGCACAGCCTTGGGAAGAGCCTCCAGGGTCCCGTGGGGACACTCAGGAGGAGAGAGACAGGGCAGGCTACCCTTATTCCCCGGGCGGCGGTAAGATCATGTTCCCTGACGGACACTTGAGCTGCCCGACAGTGCACGTGCCAGCTTTGTCTCCCCCTGACAGGTGAGAACATCAAGTGCAGAGAGGCAGCAGATTGCACATGTGGGTCATCTGAGGTCACGCAGCAGGTCGATGGCTGCTCTTGGAGCCCACCTGGATATCAGCCGGTGCGGGCCACCCGCAAGGTGGCGATGTGACGAGCAGGGTGACCCTCGTGGGTGGAAGAGCCCCCTGGATGAGTGTGTGCCTTTCCTTGCAGTTGCAGAGTTTTACTGCCTGTCATTTATAACACAGGGCAAGTGTGCACAAGTGTGCATGCACGCACACCCCCCCCCCGAGATGTGATTCACATTGCCCACCGCCCTGCCCTGGAAAGGTAAGGGGACTCCCCGTGGGAGACTAACTGGCCTCTCCCCGGAGACCCGAGGCCCCAGGCGGTGCGGAGGGCACTGACTGAACGACCTTCTCATCTTTGTCTACCGCTCACGCCGGGTTGGCGCAGGTGGAGCTGCCAGCGGCCTCGATGCTCGGGAAACACGCCCAGTGCGTGGCAGGGGCGGCTGGCAGCTGGCGCCGTCCATGACTTATAGGAGGATGGCAGCTTTACATATTTAAAAGGAGCATGGCCGGCTTCCTATCTGAAGTATGTTTCCCCGGAGAGACCACCACCATTTGATCTATTTTTGATTAAAATGTAAAAATTAAAAATTAAATCAAATGGTAGTGTAAGTCCTTGGGGAAAGCACACTTCAGTCGTGAAGTGCTCCCTCCAGCAACCTCGAGACTCTCACGCAGCATTGTCTCATCTGTGGGTGGTCTGTTTATGTCACACGTAATTAAAATAAATCGCGGTGAGCTCCACCGAACGCCTGCCTTCGGATGTATGGCCTGCAGGCTGGGCCCCTCGGGCGCGTCTTGGTGGGGGAGGCGCCAGCCAAGGGGCCTGGCAGGGTTGCCCAGCCAGCCCAGGACCCAAGGGTGCCCAGTTCAGCCCCTTCCCTGCTGAACGCCCTCGAGCAGTCTCATCCCACCCCCGTCGGATGAGGGATCGCACCCTTCCCACTCAAAGAGCCGCAGCACAATTCCTATACCATCACTGAATGACGGATGCCGCCCCAGAAACCAAAGCAGGTGCAATTGGATTTCCTAGGAAAATGTGCTTTGCAGAATCTAATCTACAACTGATTTGTATCAAACTACTTTATCAGTCTGCCTGGGATTACGGGAGCGCATCTGATAGGTTTAGGGGATGGTCACCTCGCAAACGAGACACACCAGTGTTTGCATCCGTGATCCCCGCCACTCTTGGACATAGCTTTCTGAGTCGTGACTTCACCTCCATCGTGTGGGTGTGAATGGGCACGCTGGGGCCGCCTCTTCACACTTCCTTGTCTGCATTCATTTGTTTTGAAGCCTCTGTTTCGAATGAAAATTCCCCAGAAGAAAAACGTTTCTGGAATGAAGGTCTTCACGCAGCTCCCATCATTGCTGTGCCGTGGGTTCTAAGCGAACGATCCCGGGTCAGAGCGGGCAGGGTGCTGCAGAAATGCCGAGTCCAGTGTTGGATCGCAGGAGGGCTGTGGCTGCCCCTGTGGTCCGCACACTCGGGTGGGGCCCGTGCTGTTTTAATTACCGACTAGTGCCAGACACCTGACACATGCAGAGTCCCCCTTCTATTCTCAACCATGCTGGCAGCACGGCCTGGCCCGCGGGAAGCAGTCACAGCTGTCGTGGTTTGGGAAAGCCCTCTCCTGAGGAACACGCGGTGAGCCTTGCAAGCAGGAAGGGGGACACCGTTAGGGCAAGTTCAAGGCGGGATGCCTCCCTCACGGCTTGCCCTGCAGGGGAAGGCCATCAGAGCCCCCAGGAGCCAGGCCTGGGCTGATGGAGCTGGCCCCCGCCCTCCAGGAAAGCCAAACCTTCCGAATGGGGTCTGAGACTTTCTCCAGGGGGTGGGCTTTGTTCACCTGGGCAGGCCCCCTACCCTGACCACGGCCTAATTACCCCTGGAGCCCATGGAGAAGAGGGGGCAGAAGATGCTAGTTTGGGGGCCTGGCCAGCTGGCATGACCAGCTCTCTGTGGGGCGGGCACTGGGACACAGCATGTTCAGCTGAGCCTCGGCCACTGACAGGAGGAATGCACTTATCCATTTACAGACTCTTCTAAGAATGCACGTTCAATGCAACTGGTGGATTTTGCATTTCTCGTGTATTTCCTCGGGCAGTTTCCTTGCTTCCTTCCAAACCACCCTACCTGGTTAACACTCACAGGGTGACCTTTGCATCCACCTGGTGACTCTGAGCACTTTTTCTGACTTAACCCCAACACCAGTCCAGCCCTGACTTCCGAGGCGATGGCCTCCCTCATGCTGGGCCAGCTCTGTCTCATGTTTACCCCCTACCCAATGTTCATGGATGCCTCCACCTAGGGCGTGTGTATGAGTGTGCCTATTTGCACACTCATGACTGTGTGTGCACATGTGTGTAGGCTGTTAAAATCACACACAAAACTCCTGCAACTTTCATTTCCGCTTAACACTATGTCCTGGATGTCCTTTCTGTGAGCATAGCTCATCAGCACAGATCTGGCTCGTTATTTTAAGACCCACATAGTATTACATCGATTATATGAGCAAAAATTCATGTTGCTGACATTCTGTTGATAAACGCTTGGATTTTTGCTATAGCTATATCTTGTAAGTTTAAAAATAAAAGTCAGATCTATTAGATATTTTACTATCAACTTAGCAAGAAGTTTTAAAAAGCAAAACACTCAGTGCTGGTGAAGATGTTGGAAAATAGGCATTCAATCCTGGTTGATAGCAAAGAAAAGTGTTACAGTCATTTTAGAAGACAATTTGGCAAAATCTTTTAATGTGTAAAATGCTCCTACTCTTGGCTCAATTCTTCACCCTCCTAAAAAATTGATTCTGTGCACAGGTTTATGCCCAAAGCTGCATTCTGAGCCTTTGGAAGGGACCACTGTCTTCTTTCCCTTCTGGGGTCAAACATCCTATGTGGGGACAATGACACCTGTCAAGGTCCCTGGAGGTTTCAGTTTGTGAAGCCTCCTGCACTTGAGATGTCCTGTCTCTGTCTCAAACACAGCATCATCCTGGCAAGACGTCAGCCTGGAAGCCTGTCTCCTTCCAAGTGGAAGAGATTTCCCCAGCTCTGCCCTTTGGTGGCAGGAAGGGATGAGAGCACGTAGGCAGGCACAGCAGCCCCCACCCACCCCAGGAGGCCTCACGGATGTCTGACCAAGACCCAAGTATCCCTTTGCATGTTGGCGCATGCCCAGGAATGGTGCTCTGGACCAGGAGGCCATGCTGTGACCCCCAGCGCCCCACAGCCCTCAGGAATCCTCTCCATGGGCCTCCAGTTCACTCCCATGGTCTTTTCTCCTGTTGTTTTGAAGAAGGCCCATTACCATGGGATGCAGGCAGCGTGGGCCAGGCCAAGGGAGAATCAGCACAGACCTCGATTACTGTCATTTCTAGTAAGGAGAATTTGATGCCGGCACAGAATTCGAAGTCCATGAACCAAATGACCCACTGCCTGAGATGTTTTGCAAAAGCAGCCTTGTCACGACCTTCACCTTGGAGAAACCCCAGTGTTCACATGTGCCTTGCACTGCAGAGACCAGCGGATGTTAGCACACAGTCATGATAGCTCCTTGTGGACTGCCTGGCCCAGGCTGGCTGGCAGGGGGGCCTTTAGCTCAAAAGGGACAGGGATCTGGGCCTTCTGTGCTGCTGGCAAATGAGTTTCCCAGCATTCCCTAAAAAAGGAGGCACCCAGGCTCAGACTGCTCATGCCTTCATCCATGTGTCCACTCTCACCCTCGCCCCATGAAGAGCGAGAGAGGCAGAGGACAGGAGGCCATCCTGGGCATGCTGACCGGCTAAGTTGTCGAGAGACTGGAGCTCCCAGGCTGTCTTCTGCTGACCGTGGACTGCTTCCCCAGGCCAGCCAATGTCTCATCCCAAGCTCTGTACCATCAAGGCTGGTATATCTTGCCCCGTCTCTGAATGAATCATGCTGATTGGCGCTCTGGGGATGGCAAACTGATGGTAGCCCACTCTCTTCCTTAAAGGCATCCAGAGTGCCCTGGGGAAGGCCACGGATCCAAACACAGTGTGTGAAAATCCAAGAGGTCTCCTTGAGGTAAAAGGCCTCCTTATCATCCTCAGTGTCTGGAC